GTTTGACTGTCGATCCACGTATTTCTCTATTATTGATTTCTGATATGCCAAATTTCGAACCATAAATTTGAGTGAATAATTGTAAAAGCTATTGCTGAACTATAATGTATATATTACTGTTATGTATTCTTACTTTTGTAGTTATGCCGAACCATACTATATAATATATTAATGTAATAAGCCTCGGTCGAATATAGGTTTCACTACAACTGTAAAAGAAAAAATGTATGTTAAAGTATGAAGCCATAAACGATGCCGCATGACTTAATCCCATGCGTTGCCGTTTTGAATGCTATCCTTTTTTAATCTTGGCTGTCACTTTGTCTGAAGATCTAATGGCTGCCCTTCTCTCATTTAGTGAACATATAAAAGTAGCCAATTCTCTATTGTGTGAATAGATTTTTTGCTCTCTTCTTCGTGTATTTTTGCTTTCTGTTAGGATTCTTACTTTGCACTCAATTTGTGTAGTTCTTGGGCGATTTTGGTGAATCGTGTAAAAATATTGTGTTTCCTTTTGGTTAAGAGGAGTGGGTTAGATTTCTCTTAGGTTTTATAAGGATTACTTTGAGTGGGTGTTTATAATAGCGTTTGAGAGAGATTTGAGAGTTCTTGTGAGTTGTAATCTGTAAAAACTTTCTTGATACATAGTGCAGCGAGCCTTAGTGTTTTGGAGCTCAACGCGAACGTGGCTTGTTCAAATCTTGAACAAGTGAACCATGGTAATTGTTTGTGTCTTTGATTCTTCTTTGATCTTCTGTGTGTGATTGAATTGGCAGTAGATTTAGGGTGTGATTTGGTCCCTTATCACAACAATGGTATCAGAGCTTTGGTTCTAGGTTTCTGATTTGGGAAATTCTTGATCCTAGGGTTTGTTAAAATTGGGGTTTCGTGTTTTAAAAAGTTCTTAGGGAGTCAAAGGTTCTGGAAATCATCAATCAGGTTCTTGATTTGGGAAATTTTTTATTTTAGGGTTTGTTAAATTGGGGGTTTCTTGATTTAATAGATCCTAGGTAATCTTGGGTTTTGATAATCATGAATTAGGTTGTCAATTAGTGAGAATCAAAAATTAATTCCGATTTCTAGGGTTCAATGGAAAATTCACACAATGACTACTACCACTCGCATGGAAATCACCCAGTGTGATGGGAAAATTGATTTCAGCAGTTGGAAAAAAAAGATGAAGGTTCTTTTGTCTCACAATAAGGTGGGAATTGCGCTGAAGAAAGATTCATCAAAGTGGCCAGAGGAGAAGCTGAAAAAGAAGGCTAAGATTGATGAGGAGGCATATAATCTCATCATCCTAAACCTATCAGACAGCGTTCTACAGAAGGTAGATGACCTGGAGAATCCAATCGCCTTGTGGGGTAAACTCGAAACTTTATTTGCATTACAATCTACCCCTAATTTAGCTTTTTTAAAGGGTTCTTTGTTTGCATATAAAATGGATGTCTCTAAATCTTTAGATGATAATCTAAACGAGATCCTGAAAATGACACTTATTCTTAAAGGCACTGACCAAGAATTAGGAGACTCTAACTTGGCGATGATCCAATTAAATTCCTTGCTTGAGGGCTATTTAGTTGTTAAAAATGCATTGCAGTATAGTGGGACTGTCCCCAGTGTTGATTTGATTGTGGCTGGTTTGAAATCTAGGGTATTAGAACTGAAAACTCATAAACGAAATGGCAATAACCTATTTGTGAAAGGTAGGACTGATACTGGTCAATTAGGAAAAAAGGCAGGAAGAGTGTTTCAGCATAATCCAGGGTTTAAGAATAAAAAGAAGGGTAAAGGTAACAGTAAGCCTAAATCAGAAACTAGGAAATGCTTTTACTATAATAAAATTGGGCATCTTAAAAAGAATTACTATGATTGGATTAAGAAACAGAAGCAGACTAATACTGAAAGCAATCTAGCATGTACTAGTAATAGCATTGAGCTTGCTGAAGCTCAAACTGTTTTAAACTCTGTTAGTGCTAAAGAATGGGTTTTAGATTCAGGGTGTTCTTTCCACATGAGTCCAAATAATGACTGTTTTCAAGACCTTAAACGTGATGAGAAAATTGTTTTTATGGGTAATAATCACTCGTGTAAGGTCCAAGGAGTTGGTAGCATTGCCATCAAGCTGAATGATGGCAAAATAATTGGACTAACCAAAGTAAGATATATACCTGAACTAAAATGTAACCTGATATCTTTAGGACACTTGATGAGCCTGGATGCTTTTATAAGGCTCAGAATGGTTGTATAGTAGTGTACAAAAATAATCATGTATTGCTTAGAGAGATTAAGAAAAATGGGTTGTACATACTATATGGGTATTACTGTGATAACTCTTTAATACTGCTCTATTTACTACTAACATGTCTGCTACAGAGAAATGGTAGTTGAAGATGGGCCACATAAGCTAGAAAGGTATGAACATTCTCAGACAATAGGGGTGTTTTGTGAATGATACTATCACTAACCTAGAATTTTGTGAAACATGCGTGTTGGGTAAACAACATAGGATGAGTTTCCCAAAAGGAACGCATTAGGCCACTAGGTGTTTAGAATACCTACATGCAGATTTGTGGGGTCCTGAGAAGGCTAGGTCTCATGGTGGGAACTCATACTTCCTGTCTATTATAGATGACTTCAGTGGGAAGGTTTGGGTGTACCTCCTAAGGTCTAAGGATGAAGCCTTTACCAAGTTTAAAGGCTGGAAAATTCTGGTGGAAAACCTGTGCGAAAATAGAGTCAAGGCCCTTAGGACTGACAATGGTTTAGAGTTTTGTAACTCTGAATTTGATACCTACCGTAGTGACCTAAGGATCCTAAGGCATAGGACAGCTAGGAGAGTGGGGTTGCGAAGAGGATGAATAGAATTGTAACACCCCAACCCACTGTCAGCCCAACACAGTCAAGATATTGTCCACCTTGGCAGCCTAAGTGGTCCGACTCCGAAGCCCAGCCTCTCACGGTTTTGTTTTCAGGCCCAAAACCCCCTGCTCAGGCCCAAAACCCCTTGCTCAAGCCCAAAACGTGTCTTGACTATTGGGAGGTTCCCCTGGTATTTAACTAGCTCAGACCCCTCCTTCCCAAGCGATGTGAGATGTCTCAATCTCCTACCCTCAGGATCCAACGTCTTCGTTGCGATCCCTCTTGGGCCAGACGAGATCTCTTGACTATTTACACATTTCTGGTTGGGATTGGCTCTGATACCAATTGTAACACCCCGGCCTACTGCCGACCCAACACAGTCAAGATATTGTTCGCTTTGGCAACCTGGGTGGTTCGACTCTGAAGCCCAGCCCCTCATAGTTTTGTTTTCAGCCCAAGAACCCTTGCTCAAGCCCAAAACGCGTCTTGACTATTAAGGGGGTTCCCTTGGTATTTAACTAGCTTAGGCCACTCCTTCCTAAGCGATATGGGATGTCTCAAGAACACTGTTGGAAAAAGTTAGGCGTCTCCTATTCACCTCGGGGCTGCCTAAAACCTTTTGGGGAGAAGCCCTAACTATTGCTGCCTACCTTATAAATTAGAGCCCCTCTAGTGCTATAGAATTCCAATGTCTTGAAGAGAGATGGTCTGGTAGAAAGCCTAGCTCAACCACTTAAGGCTATTTGGGTGTGCTGCCTATGCACACACAAATGTTAGACCCAATGTCTCTTAAATGTGTGTTTCTAGGATACTAAGAAGGGACAGAAGGGTATAGGCTTTGGGAGAGAGAGGCTCTGGGGGTTAAGAGTCATAATTAGTAGGGATGTGGTCTTCAATGAATGTGTTTTTCCTTGTAAATCTTCTAACCCCACTGCAGGTACCTCTAATAGTGAGACTAAAGATTTGAACCATACTGATACCACCCAAATTAAGGTGGAGCCAACAATGTACCAAACTGACCTGACCAATTCTGATGAAGAAACTGAACCTGCAGAGCTATCACAACCTGTGGGAATCACTCAAGGCACTGAAGATGAAGTAATAGAGCCTGAAGGAGAGCCTCAACAAGTTGATCTTGCTCAGTATCAGCTTGCAAGGGATATGATTAGGCGTGAAATCAGATCCCCTGCAAGATACAGCTATGCATACCTAATTTACACGGCATTGGTGGCTGGGGTTGAAATCAAAATAGTTGAACCTACCACCTATGAAGAAGCTATAAGCTCAAAGGATAGCAAGCAATGGTTGGCTGCCATGAGTGAGGAAGTTGTTAGTAAATCGATAGATAAAGGCAGCGGAAAATAAAAATTTTTGCCCATCGATCACTCTGATTTGCCAAGATCAGGGTCTGGTATATATATATATATAACATGCTTAAATTGAAACAATAAAGATCCATGCAAGGATACCAGCATTTGGAGGCTCCGCCAGTGTCTCTGAATGGGATTCGCTACTGATTCGAGAACGGAATCGAACTCACGTCCTCCACACGAAGACAGTATGTCAGAGACCAAGAATTAATTTTGCTAGAATTAATTCTTGGCTTTAAAGATGGTATTTGAATGATAGAGTGTGAAGAAGAAGAGAGAAAATCTTTCTCTCAAAAGTTAACCCACGGCAAGAATGAGAGAATTCTACGAAAACCTAAATTTTGCTTTCTTTAAATAATCAAGCAAAATTTCCATTCCACCCCTACAGTTTAGCAACAACCCAAACTTAGGTGGAATCACATATTNAAAGCTCTGGCTAACATTTGCTTTAATAGAATAATATAAATTTTGTGCATAAAAATACACCCTTTTCTCCTTTCACTAAGCAAATTTTTTCATTCAAGATTTTCCCAGTTACAACTACAGCACAAATGATAAACAGTTCTGGACAGTTACATCGCTAAAAGGGCTATTTAAAAAAAAAAAAAAAAGTGGTGATTTCTAAACATGTTAAACAAAGACCTAAAAGAATTTGAAAACTTCATCTGATTAAATTAGTTTAGACAATAAGCATTTAAAACTTAATTAACATTACACAAATTACAAGGTGATCTCAGCATTTTATTAATGAGATCAATAGACCGTATTTCACAGAAAAGTAGTACATAAAGTTGGCTCACATACCCTAGTATCCCGTGTTCCATGTGGGCTGCTAGCAATTTTTGGCCTGAATGCGTTTGGGTTACGCTCTAAAGTTGCATCAACAGCTTCTCGCCTAGCAGCTTCGTTTTCAACATTGTTATGACAATTTACACAATTGCATCCATCACAATAAATTCCAGATGCAAAGCACTCACAGTACCTGTTACAGAGAAATATTAGCTAAATATCAGAAAACATAATTGCATCTAATAAGAAGCAACCATTTCTCCATAAACAGTTCTTAGACAATTGAGATTGGCAGGAGGGCACAAAAATTAAATACAAAGACAAATTAGCTATGGTTTAATCTTATTTTTTTCCTGTAAGTAATAATGTTCTTGCAAACGGAAAGGACAAAATTGATGGGACAAACCTAGTACATGGAAAATATAAAAAGTGACACACCTCAATGAAATATAAAAGGAACATGTCATATATTTAAAATGCTCATTAATAATTGTTTTGAACAACAATTATTTGAATTACGTAAGGCCTTGGGGTATCCAACATTGCCCAAGCCCAGTGATACAAGTAAATATGCATAATTTGTGTTTAATCCCATTGATATAATGATTCTAATAGTAAATATAATGAAACTATTGGATTGAATCGTTTTGATTACCAATCATTATCTTTTATGATATAGATATAAATCCTTGAGCTGAATTGGAAAAAATGGTCTCAATTTTCTCGTAATATAACTCTAACAAAAAATTACCTCAGCCTCGAAAGTATTATTATTCGTCAAGTGTTGTCAAAAGGCATTAATATTTCATTTCATAAAACAATTACTTCAAAGAACGATAGTATGAGGTGAGTTTGATCAATGATACTCTTAACTGGTATTATAAAGAAACAAAACAAAAATATTCCAAAACTTACAGTCATTCCACCCCAACTGAACATTTCAAGCTCACCTGATTATCTGATATGATTAAGAAATCCATAACTTGACGAAAAATGAATGAATAAGTTGAATAATGCATATACACAACACCACAGAGACGGGTGAGTGGACAAGGACAGGGAAAATAGAGATGCATTTTATTACCTTCACAAAAAATCTGTAAGAAACTATCCTTTTCTTTTTTCATGGAAATAAATCATTACCTAATAAGGTAAATTTTCCCTTCTATCTAAAGACCCCCAAAGTTTCACATAAACATCTAACTTCTTGAACAGCAGAAGGAGAAAAAAAGGGTAAACAAAAATGCATCCCTGCTTTGATCATCAAAAGTTCAAGACGAAACAGAAACATCAACCAACATCTCAGTATATAAACAGAGTTGGACCACAGCCCCAAATCAAATAGGAATAATACCGATTTAATACAAATTTCCATAAAATATATATCAACCCATCAATGATGCTCCTGCATTTAAAGAACGCACAGAGAGGTGAGATACTCACAACTTCAAGCAACGTGAATGTTTACAGTTACACTGTTTTTGCTTCTTTGGAGTACTCTCTTTGACGTCAACATTGGGTCTTGGTCTTGATTTTGGGGATTCTGGTTTTCTGGAGAAAGCAAAAGTACTGTTAACAAAATTGATGCAAGTACTTTGAACTTCCATATAAAGTTTTGCCACACTGCCATATTTTTACAGTAATTTTGCGTTGGAAAGTTTCAGGTCCTTGATAGAGTTTATTTACTAGCAAATTAAAGAAATGATAACTTCGGAAAAATTAACTAGCGCCAACCAGAGAGGAAATCAGTTGAGAATCAACAAGTAAATTCAACAGTAAAGAACTCACTCAAGTCTACCATTTAATTTCAATATAACCCAAAAAGAAAAAACTCAGAAATTGAGGAGATAAATGAAGAAACTTGTAATAAATAGTTTAACTGTAAAATGAACTATGTAACAACTGAAAGAGAGCAATCAAACCTAACCTCTCACAACATAACAGTAAGAGGAAACATGCAGTAAAAATAATCAGAAAGTTGATACTCCAAAAAACCAATTTTGATAAAAGAATTTCAAAACTTACACAACCCTCACTGATGGCTGCGCGGTAAGCGTGGACGGTGGCAGAGGTGGTGCAACAGTTTGCGGCTGCGGCTGAGTAATTGGCACCACGGCTTGCGGCTGTGGGTGCTCAGGCAAAACCACAGTTCCACCAAAACCGGCGGTGAAATCGAGCTGTCTAGCGAGCTTCTTCGTCGGGAAATCACCGGCGCCGCCTTGCGTGTCCGATTGCACTTTTTTTGGAGGGAATTCGCCTTCCTCACCCTCCCCCATCAATTTTTTTAAAAACCACTTTTTATTTCTAAAAAAGAACCAATCTTTTGAAGCTTAATCCAGCAATCACACTCCAAAAGTCCCACAAATTTCACAAAATCAAGACTAATTAAAGAAATTTCAGATCCAAAAACCAATTCGACACCTTTTCGGTATCAGATTATAAACAGAATATGTAATTGCTTAGCTCGAGATTCACACCGATGATTTTCTTTAAACCGAAAAAAATGAAATCGAGAGTAACTGGATGCGCATAAACGTAGAGAGAGAAAGAGAGAAACTGTAGAAGAAAAACCGTACAGAGATGGAATTCGGTACAGTGATTGTGAAGAGAAGGGGAACTGTGAAAAAAAGGAAAAGGAAGGAACGAAGAAGAGCAAAAGGGACTTAGTTGTTCTTCTGTCTCTCCTCCCTCTCTTCTGAGATGTTTTGAAATTTCAATTTTTGTGTATATTGAAGGGTGAGATTTGCTTCTTTGTTTCATCTCACGGTGTATATTGAAAGAAAATATCAGACGGTGGAAATTCATAGGAATGCATCGTTGGTAAGTGGTTGACCGTCGGATTATATGCTTCACCAAAGTTATTCGTGCTAGAAGGTAAAATCTGGTGTTGTAGAGTGCAGGCAAAGTGAATGATTGACCACTAAAATCAGGCCATGTAAGCAAGTTGGGATATGTGGAAGCACGTGAGTGGAAGGAATATTTATGTAATGAGCTGAGGAGCGGTTTTAAAAAAAAGGAAAAATAAAATAAAATTGGCGCTAAATCCTAAATGGACAGAGAAGTTGCTGACATGGAGGTGCAAGTAGAACTGGGTTAAGGTCAGTTTGATGGATTGATGGGATGGGAGAGTTTGTTAGAACGAGGTCATTAATAGACGGTCTAAATTTTAATCACAATAAAACACAAGCGTGTAATTTATAAAAAATAATTTCATCAACTAGGCAACTTTATATTAGAAAGTTCCAACTCTTATTTTGTAAATTATATAAAATAATTTGTAGAGCCTAAATTAGTTAAAAGACTCCAAACATACCAAAGACAGTTAGCGAAAAATACCATATTAAACATCAATTTTATTTATAAAGGAAGACCTAAATGAAGGTTACTTTACCATGATGAAGCCAATTTTAAAAGTAAATTAAATGTAATTTCAGATAAGAGGAACCAAATTCTTCACCAAAAGTTGATAACAATTATACAAGGGCCTCTTTGGTAGGTTATTTGAAAAATTATTGCTCTCAAAAACTATTTGAATATGATAGTATAGGAAAATCAAATATGATAAGATTCTGATGATGTGTTTGGTATAATATTAAAAAATTATATCAGAGTTAGATGAAAATTAGAATTGTTGTTTGATACATTTTTTAAAAATATTTAGATTATTTTTTAACTTTATACATTTGCTAATTTAGCTATACATGTCCCGCAATAAAAGTTTATAAATTAACAAAAATACCTTCATCCACCTAAGTCACTGTCGGCAACCGGCCACCACTGTCGGACGATAGTCGGCAATCATCAGAATAGCGAAAGACTTGCTGGATCTTGTCAGCCGTGCATCGATCTGGTCAGAAATTGTCAAATTTATGACCAGAATATGACTATCGTTGATGGCCAGATTTCTAGCCGTCATCAATGATCAGTTCTAATCGTAAATCTGACCGTTTTCGGTCAAATCCATGGTAAATCTGAAGAAAATTGTCAGATTGGCGCATAATCGACTAGTCGTGAGTCATTTCGACGCCGCCGGCCGTCGATGGCAATGATGAAAAGTGATGATTACTGACAATTGGCAATGGCTTGAGTGGATGAGAGTGTTTTTATAATTTATAGAGCTTTTATTGTGAAAATAATTGTTACCTCCCACTTTTCATTTTCAATTGAAAAATTCTATTTAAATCTTATTTGATTTGGAATAATTTTTAGAATAATGATTTGAATAACTAAAAAAACACGGATTCTATTTTTTTATTTAAATAAGATAAAATAAAAGTATTTCAAAAAAATTAAACGTACGGGGGGACAAGATTCTGATAATTCATTAACGTTTTTATTAAGGTTTGACGCAAGTCAACTTGGAATATGTAATGATGATAGAAGAGAAGACTGGAATGAGGGAAGAAGTCGTAGCCTATACGGTGTAGGCAGATTTTTAAGGCATAAACCTGACAAACTATGACTACCAACTGTTTGGTCAATAATGTAAAGAAAATCTTGATAGATATAGAATTGTCAAGGATCCCGCAAAATTATCATGGGAACTTGAAATAAAATGCAAAGCACTACAATCCTAAGCTGTCCTCTAGGCTCTAATAACTTTTCGGCTTTTCCCATCCATGCTAATACGCATCTCCAATTCGGTCACGCCCAATGCCTCTTCGATCATCTCTACCCCGTTCCATGTACATATCTCGACGATAATCTTTCGGTGGAGGTGCACCTCTAATTGGCGATCTGCTCCTCTCTCGCACATCTCGTCCCCATCGCCCACGGTGAGGAGGAACTGGTGGAGCTGGAGGGGGAGAGGGTGCCCGTCTGTACCCTTTCCTTTCATTGAAGAAGTTGTCCCTTCCACGGTCTCTATGGCCCCAATCCATAGGTGGCATTGGTTTGTTCCTCCCTCGATAACCATCATCTGGAAAATCAAGCCGATCCCTCCGCATGTGATCAGAAAACCTACCTTCATGCCGAGAAGGCGGTGGTCCACCAGCTACAAACTCTCTAGGGCCATGGCCATCCCTGCCCCAACCACGAGGAGGCGACCTATAACCATTCATGGGTCTGCCAGGGGAAATATCCATAGGAAGTCCAGGAAATCGCCTAGGAGGAGGAGGTGGTGGTGGTGGTGGTGGTGGAGGGCCAGGATAACCCCTTCTAAGACTTCCACCAGGTGCATAGCGAAATCTCTTGCAATTGTTACAGTACTCTCGCCTGGCAAAGTTCAGGTTGCCGCATCTGAGACATGGAAAACACAATGAGGAAGAATGAAAGATTGGATGCTTTAAACTTACCAATAACAGTATTCACTAATTGACTTTGATGAAACGAAAAACTATATCAGCACTAGGTCAAATTTCCTGTCGGGAGAAAAAATGGCAAAAACGAGAAGGTTACTCACTCATGGAGTGCTTAAAAAGGTAAAGATTTCTAACTCTGTTCCAATCATAATAATAAGAGAAACTGTCTCTCCGAGTATTGTAAAAGGGCTTAGAAAGTACCAACAATTGATAAGAGGAGCTTTAAATCTAGGATCCAGCAAGATGAAAATCAATGTAATTCTCTAATTAAAAAATATCATAATATTACCATTCTTTCTTGTAAAACACAACAAATAAAAACCAAACAGAGCTTGGGCCAAGATTACAAGAAATAATGGAATCTAAAGGAGTATAGAAATTAAGGGAAGAAAAACTAGTTAATAAAAAATAAAAATTCCAGAGCAAAAAAATGATACGCAGACTTACGAAGGATCAGGGCAAACCCAGTCTCCTTCCCGTGGTCGCACATTTGGATTATTTCGATTCATGCCTTCACCTCTTAAAGGCCCAGGACCAAGTGCAGGTCCATCGAAACCTCTGCCAAAAGGCCTGCCACCACCCCTTCCTCGAGCATAAGGTGGTGAAGGGTCTCGATATCTATCATGATCCTTCCCACTGCCAAATTCGCGGCTGCGTGGCATACCCCCAGAATGATCAAAATTAGAGCCATATCGATGATCTGCATCCCTACGCCGTATAGGAGAAACAGAACCTGCACGAGTTCTATATCCTGGAAAAAAAAGAGCAGTAAAATCTACAGATAAGCTAACCCCAACTGACCAGAGGAAAATAATGGATGCAATAATGTATTTATAATGCCGGAAGATCAGCTATCCATGAGAATTGTCAAATGACCCAATCAACAAAGTTTGCAAGGGTAGTTACCATCACTCAGACCACCTTCTCTATTAATAGTACAAAAAGATATTATGGCCATGGAAAAGAGTGAAAAGTTCACTTGGTAAGTGCCCTAGTTACTTTTCACAACTAGTCCACAGTACCAGTAAAAAATTGTTGGATAAGCAAGTCAAATGATGGTTACTTGTACTTACCACAAATGATAACCACTCAGTCCTCATAAAACAAAAACAAGCCCAGCGTTCCTACATTCAAGATCCAAATCCATCTATCTTGTAAACCATTATCAGCTTAATAATATGTGTCTAACCTAAACGTATCAGATTTATTAACCCCAAACCCAGAATGTTGAGCAACCAAATTTAGTACAAGACGAGCTAGTAATTCTGAAGATAGCTTTGTCCACAACCGAGGACAGCGGATAAAGACAGATATAAGCCTAAAAATAACAACCAACAGAGAAACCAAAACCCCAGTACAAGTTTATTCCAAACCTTCAGCTGAAACTGCACCTTCAATAAAGAGCAGCGAAACCAACAGGATGAACCATACAGGTAATCAACCACCAGAAACAGCATTATATCAAAAATTGACCGGCTACGAAACCATTCACTTGTTTTCAGAAACATCCCAGCATGTGGTTATAATCCAAACACCCAAAAAATATAACTCAAAAGCAACACAATTTAAACAATTCCAGTCCAAACCCAAGGGTATAATTGCTCAAAACATGCACGTACGAAGCCAGAGGAGGACTGTCTGATTGATCATTATTGTCTGCCACTACCAATACCTTCTATAACATAACGGAAAACTTGAAAGGACTAATTACCCAAAGAAAATGATCACCCAATAGTTTCAGAGACCTGCAGCAACTCTCTGTATCAATTCCTCAGCTGAGATACAGAAAACTATAAAAACAACTTATGGAATAATAACAGAAATTCCAAAAGCCGCAAAAACAGATTTCCATCATACTTACTGTGAGCAATCCAACTCAACCCTATTTAACCATATGGAAAAAGGAAAATAAAATGTAAGTAGCCCAATCAAACCATTAATTATCATAAGGACAATCCCAAACCACAAATCTGCATGAGGGCAGCTAGAGATTTCCAATTACCACCGGGAAGTCTTAGATGTTTCCGTAAACTAAGGAACTGATGACATCTGAAGGCCAGCAAATAGCATCGGATCATAATGAAATGTCAGCTTCACAAAAACATAGCCAGTAGCAACCCCAGTGCATTTTTCATCATATTTCTGTGGACCCCAATACATTAATGCCCAGGTTATTACTTAAGATAACCATCACAACTGTGCTAACTAATATTGGGTATTCTGACACTTCAATGAACCATGCCATGTGATCATCTCATCTCAAGAGTAAAACTTAAGGGAAAATCCCTCCCAAAGTGTGATTTACATCTTTCCAAATTGAAAACTCCATA